TCAATGGACACAAAAAACAAAGTACCACCAGAACAACTTGTGCTTGGCTCACACCAAATTGGGAGGGATAGCCAATACTCCAGAGGACAGGAGCAGGATTCAAAATGATCTTGACAGATTAGAGAGATGGGCCAAAACTAACAAAATGAAGTTCAACAGTGACAAATGCAAGATACTCCACTTTGGCAGGAAAAACGAAATGCAAAGATACAGAATGGGGGATGCCTGGCTCGAGAGTAGTACGTGTGAAAAAGATCTTGGAGTCCTCGTGGACAACAAGTTAAACATGAGCCAACAATGTGATGTGGCGGCAAAAAAAGCCAATGGGATTTTGGCCTGCATCAATAGGAGCATAGTGTCTAGATCTAGGGAAGTAATGCTACCCCTCTATTCTGTTTTGGTTAGACCACATTCTGGAATATTGTGTCCAATTCTGGGCACCACAATTCAAGAGAGATATTGACAAGCTGGAATGTGTCCAGAGGAAGGCGACTAAAATGATCAAGGGTCTGGAGAGCAAGCCCTATGAGGAGCGGCTTAAGGAGCTGGGCATGTTTAGCCTGAAGAAGAGAATGCTGAGAGGAGATATGATAGCTATGTATAAATATGTGAGAGGAAGCCACAGGGAGGAGGGAGCAAGCTTGTTTTCTGCTTCCCTGGAGACTAGGACGCGGAACAATGGCTTCAAACTACAAGAGAGGAGATTCCATCTGAACATGAGGAAGAACTTCCTGACTGTGAGAGCCGTTCAGCAGTGGAACTCTCTGCCCCTGGAGTGTGGTGGAGGCTCCTTCTTTGGAAGCTTTTAAGCAGAGGCTGGATGGCCATCTGTCAGGGGTGATTTGAATGCAATATTCCTGCTTCTTGGCAGGGGGTTGGACTGGATGGCCCATGAGGTCTCTTCCAACTCTTTGATTCTATGATTCTATGACCTTCTTGCTAAGTCTTGATTTAACCCATTGCTATGAGAAAGGAAATAAGAAGAAAGCAGAAAAAAGCAGAAAGAAATATCTGTCAGTTGTGGAAACTTTGTGGCCAACAAGAACTAGCTTTAAGAGAGAGTAATTATTCGGGACCTATTTCCCGTGAAGAATCTTTGCATAATGATGGTAATTTCAGGGCCTTGTTGACCTGACCTGAAAAGTCATCTTGGGATGGAAAAGTTTCAACCCCTCCTGATTTTTTTTTTCTGTCTACAGATATGAACTCAGCCAAAGTTTTTTGGCTTGATGTTTTAACTACAACATTTAAACTTATACATGAGTATATGTACTACACTTCATTACCTACAATAACACTTAAAAGTCATAATGGCTTAGTTAAAGCCAAAAAGCAACTACAGACATTCTAATTCCAGAAGAAAGAACACACTCACACACACACAAAGACGTTTCATACAATCTTTCTCCACTCTGCATAATATTCCATAGGCATAAGCTGGAAAAAATCAAACACTTTTAATCCTCTAATAGCTTAATAAGAAAGTTAAGTAGATGAATAGAATTTAGATTGATGAATTATTGGGGGGGGGGGGGGGGGGGGGAGAGAAAATAGTTCAATTGCTTCTGTTAATTAAAATTTACAAAAAAGTTTCTAAATAAATTGACATTATTTATCCCCAAGTTTAATTAAAGGGGAGGGGCTAAACTAATAAAACATAATGTGCTGGAAGGTATAGAAGACTGTGCATTCCTGTCCTTTATAAGATAAGACCACTAGTTTCCCAGAGTTCTCAAATAAAAAGGATTTTTAATTCTGATTAAAATTCCAGTCTTCTGGGATCAAAAAACATTTGGGAGACAGTCTTTTACAACTAGAACACAATTCAAAGAAATCAAAAATTAAAAAGAGAAACATTTCTAATTGAAATATTATACTTGACTTTTTGTCCTATTTTAGAATCCTTTATTGAGCACTACACTGAATGGATAAGAAGATGGAGCTTCTTATTAAGTGCCTTTCAAAAACAGTGTAGATTCATATTCCCGAGGAAGCAGGTTTTATTTTTAGACTAGCATAGGGATAGTGATGTTCCAGACTGACCCAATTTTGTGATGTTTGTAGGTCATTTTAATTATTCATTAACATAGATATACACATATGCATAATGTTGTGGCAAGAAAATATTCACATTTGGAGACAGCCTCATCAAAGAGCAATAATTGGGTGTAAGAGATATGAAAAAGAATGGACAAGAATTAATGTGGGTGAACAGGAAAACACTGAGAAGTAGTTTTTCTACTAACTGGTGTCCTCCAGATGTCCTATCTAGAATTCCAGTATAATCTAAGCTAGTGTTTCTTAGGCTATTTGATGTGGAGGATCAGTGGGATTGTTTTCCCAATAAGCCCATGGCCACCATATTTGTGACTGTTGACTAAAACTGGGTCTTTCTTTCCTGAAAAATCTCTATGGCCTGGACCCAATCCATAACTTCACAAAATCAAGAGACTTGATTAAAGAAGAAAATATGATCTCAAAGATTGGGTTACATAACAAAAAAGATTATTATGTAAGAATTTGGACTGTGGTCGTGCTGTGGGTTAAATTGCTAAGCTGAAGAACTTGCTGGCCGGAAGACCAGCAGTTCGAATCCACAGGGCGGGGTGAGCCCCTATTGTTAGTTCCAAATTCTGCCAGTCTAGCAGTTTGAAAACATTCAAATGTGAGTCGATCAATAGGTACCGCTTCGGTGGGAAGGTAACAGTGCTCCATGTAGTCATGCCAGTGTCTATTGATAACAACAGCTCTTCAGCTCAGAAAGGCAGATGAACACCATTCCTCAAGAGTCGGACTCAACTAGACTAAATGTCAAAAGGAAACCTTTACCTTTGAGAATTTGGACTCACCTATACTTAGGCCAATTGACTATTTGGTAGCCATCTTGGCAATATTGCATGTTAATACTTTATCCTCATACTGTGCTCTCACCTTTTTCCTCCCTATATCTTCAAAAGTCACTACACTAAGAGCTAAACATACTTTCTCACATTTAAAATGGAACATAAGACATGCCCCTCAGGTGCTCCAGGTGCACTCTAATGGCTCAGAAGACTGAATGGCATAACTTGTTTCCTCCTTCTGGGAAAATATTTGTGTGTTAACTACAAAGAACCGAGCAAAACATATTTAAGCATCAAGATGAAGCAAACATTAATAAATTGCATCTTTCCCTATTTATCTTAGAAACTATAAGGGCTTTTCTGAAAACTGATCTACAGCTTGGATTTTGCCTTGCTTTGTATCAGTTTCTCACAGAAGTACACAACCTGTTTCAGCTTCAGTGTAGATCCCAATTCTCTGAAATTATCTGCCTAGCAGCATCCATGTGATACAAAAAGTGTACAAACTGCTTAGATGTTATTTCTGTTGTTACAGATGAATATACCTTAAAGACAAATTTCTTAATAATCTTAATCTCTCAATAATGGATCCCTCTTCAGAGGAAACACCATAGTTTATTGACAGAGTGCACACTTTGCACGCAGAAGCTGGAATACTGCAAACAGTGTCAGCAGGAGTATAAACACTACAGTAGCAACAAATGTGAAGGAAGCAAAGTATTACAGCAGGAGTGGTCAAAAGGTTGGAGTCATGGACCAATTTGTAGCTCCTTTTTTGGCCAAGTCACAGCCAAACTGGAAATGAGATTGCATAGTTGTGTGTGTGGGTATGTGTGTGACACATTTAGTTGTATTTTGCTTTAATTCTATATTGTAGAATTCCTCATTAAAATTCATATTGGGATATATCAAATTATAAATATTGGAGTTGTTACTGGGTAAGTGGGAAGGCGTTGCCATGCATTTCCATATTGTGGGTTGGTCAGGTATGATTTTAAGGCGAGATTTCCTTGAAAAATTGCACCTTAAAAATAAGGGTCCAGGGGTTGGAGGGAATTCCTGAGAGACTGGCAGTGGACCTGAGGGACTGAAAAAGTGTGATCTGGTGTTGCACGTAGTAGATGGGCAACACCTTCTCTACCCTTCTTTAGAGAAACCCAAGAGACTCAAAGGTGGTGGATTTCCTTTATCTTCCTTCACCATAACTGTACAACATCAGAAAAAGGAAAGCTGGTTGCATAGCGTACCAACAGATTCAGGAAAATCTCTGACTGATTCTCTGTCATCTCCAGCTAGGCTACATAAGGTATGTAATATTGAACTAAATATTGATAATCTTCTGACTTTGTGCATTCAGTGGGTTAAGTTTGTTTGCTTATATCATTTGCACTGAATTTTTATTTTACATTATTTGTTTATATTCTACTTTTCTGTTGCCATGGGACTGAAGGCACCTTCCAACAGCATTGGGATATCTCTACATGAGCTACATTTAAATCTGTCAAGGCCTTTCCCATTGTCTTCACTTTTTTAATTGAAGTTAGAATAATACTATACAACACAATGTAAAGCACTGATCTGTACTTTCAAAGTTTTCTGAATGAAATAACCTGAATTTTAAATATTTCTACAAACATTGTGAGAAAACTGCTTAATTATAATTTTAATAAACTGATCTTCTTAGAAGTGTTGTTTACACATGCTTTGAGTATCCTGGAGTTCTACTGAACAACCACTATACCATGCTAGCTCCCTTGGTAGGGTTGAATCCTACCTTTTCTTCTTCTACCTGATGCAACAGGAAGGCTGGCACCACCGTTATAGATTTTCTTGTTCTCTGCCAGCAGCAATATTGCCATGTAGACTGCTGGCTCAGTTCGACACTTACACCTGCCAAATGGTTACTGGAAGCTTGACAAAAACAGATGCCAGGGCCTGTCATGTACTTTCGAAACAAAACCGTTTCAATTCCTAGCCTGGAGGTGCGCTTCACTTTAAACAATAATGCAATAGTGTATTGACATGCCACGTTGTGGGTTTTGTTTTAAAAATATAAACCACATCCATAAAATCCACATCAAGGGTTACTCCAGACTTTCCCAATCCTGTTCCCTATTCCCTTGGCAGCAAAAGGTAGATTTTTATCAGCTCTCTTACCAATGTGCTGAGCGCAGGTATCACAATACTCCGCATATAAGGATTCAAAACAGTTGCAGCAATATGGCCGCCCTTCCTTCATGATGTATCGCTGGCCTCCCAGCACCGTTTCACATTCAAAACAGCAAAAGTGCTTCATATGCCAGTGCCGTCCCTCAGCCTCTGTGCATTCATCTGCAAAGATAATCTGTTGAAAGAAGAGAGAGGGAGGCAATGTAGGGCTTTGTTCATTTTTGTTATGACCTACTATACAATCTATTTTCCTATCATGTATTTTTAGCTTATTTTTAACAGCTTGGCTGCCTCATGATCCTTATGCCTAGGCCTCTTGATACTGGAGACCTAATTTTCTGAAACACTCTAAATAAAATGGATAAAATTTAGTGGAGAATGACACATATTCCCTTGTCAAGGGTTAGCAGTCAGAAAGTAGGTACCTATGCAAGAACAAAGATAAGCAAACAATAGTTGACATCACAAGCAGTGTACAGAGACAAAATTATTGATTGAAACAAAAAGCAGTAAAAAGAGCAATATTCACACAGATAATAATAAACAGAAATGACGGATTCAAAGAAAAGAAACGAGGACAGTTATTTAACACTTTTGTTCACAGTCTCTCCAAGCTTGGTTTATAACCACCAAGACCCATTGAGAGCTGGAACTCTGCAGTGGGTCCTAATGCAAAGTGAATTGGTGACCACAGCTCACAGTCATAACCGCTCTATTTCCCATATATTAACTTATGGTAGTAGCAGCAACAGAAGTAAAATAATACTAGGTTCCTATTACATTCACTGTTATAGGGCTATTACTGCCATGGAAACATTTTGTGGCATTCTGCAATTTGTAGTTTCATGAGGCCAAAGAGTCCTATGGATGAGAACTCTAAACATCCCTCCACAGAATTCTATATGTCAGTTAAAGTGGAATAATAGTGGTATAATAGTATTGTGTGACAGGGCCTCTAAATGCATCAGCGGTTACGCTAAGAAATGCCTTGGTGCACTAAGAGGTATTCAGCTGTCATCAGATACGTTAGGAAGCAAATACAGGCACAGGGATGCGTGGGGTGAACACCCAAGCTTTCGAGCCATGACCATTGGCTAGACATCTACTTCTGTAAATGCATTCCTGTATCTAGACCCTACTGAGCCATTTTGTGCCAGGAACCATTTTGTTCTTTCTGTCTCTCTGTGTGGCAGAAGCTGTGCATTCTAAGGTTATGGTGCTATAGCAACAGTGCATAATGTTTTAATGTTAACAGCGGAGGCAGGCACATATCAGTGATTAGTTTGATGATTTCCACTCATTCCCATCCCAGAATTGATGTGTTTGACGGTATGGAAACCTAGAAGGAAAATGCAGGTTTTGCACATAACACGAAGTTCAAGAATTAATCACAGGCTGCATTTTTCTCCCTTCATATCTACCTTCCAACTGTAGAGTGGCCACCAAAAAGAAAAGTGGAGATTGAAAACGGTCTGTTCAATTACTGTGTTAGTCCTTCTGAAAAAAAGGGGTGGGGGAAAACTTCATGGATGAGAGGCCAGCAATGCTAGTATCATAAAGGCCTACATAGTTTAAAAGCAGTGGAGAACTGCCATTGTCATAAGGACTTGTACCGACTGTTGGAACTACAGATGTCACTACAGGGGCTAACAAGTAGACCAATCTTGTGAAATTTCACATCTTCCCTCACTTGCAAGTCACAAGCTGTGGATACAAAGATAGATGACAAGCTGAATTTGAAATTTGCATTAATTCATCATGCAACAAAGGAAAAATAACACATTACAAGAAAGAGTATATTGAAGCTCTCGTGTTCCACCAAAGCTCATAATGGCTTGGCTGGACTTACCTCATCACATGCTGCACAGCGAGGCTTCAGGCATTCTGCGTGGTGCCGGCCACAATAAATCTTTCCATCTTGATAGAAGTAGATAAGATCTACCAATAACTCATTGCAAACGCTGCAGATGAAGCAAGGGGGGTGCCAGCAAATGCCATGCCCTGCTCTAGATGCAAAGACAGCTATGTCTCCTCCATTGATTTGACCTCCACACTGTAAAGATGGATAGAGATGTTAAGGAGGAATCCCCTCAGACCACTGTATCTCTCCTCATAAGAGCATTTGAATGAAGTTGAGACTTTACTAAATAATAAAGCAGGATTTTCGACTCCTGATTCTTTGGAATTCTAATGGTCCATAAAATAACTAGGAGTTCCACAAAAGTTCACAATTGGAAAAAACACACACATTTTTAAAGCTGCAGACATAATATTAGTTATGCAGTGGTTCCCTGATACCTCATAGTTCTTCTAAGATAAAAAGGTTAGGGAAAGTCAGACTGTAGATCAGGGAATAGGGATTTGCCCTGTGTTAGATGGGGTTATACTCCTCTCAGACACAGGTTCACAGTTTGAGTGTACTCCTGGACCCAACTTTGAACCTGGAGGTCCAGGTTTCTGTGGTGAATAGAAGTGTCTTTGCACATTTAAAGCTTGTGCACCAATTGCACCTGTTCCTTGAAATACTGGATCTGATGGTACATGTGCTGTCGCATGCTGGGCCTGTAATAATGTCTGTTTACAGGACATGCCTTCTGTATGCCCAACGGGATGCTGGGGTGCCTCAGCTGAAGAGTCTCTTAGATTTTCCAACACAAAGTTCTATTGAGGCTCAAAATACATTCAACAACGTTCTTTATTTGGGCTTAAATCTTCAAACAAATGAATTAAACACTTTATAACCTTGGAAAACTGGTAGCTTCCTCAGTCTGCCAACAAGGGGCAGGCAACTGGTGGTAAACTGTTCCTTCCTTCCTTAGGGAAATCCTTTGACCCCTCCCTGGGCAATCTCTCTTTACCTTGCTGGCGTGAGGCCCCTACTCCCGGCTCCAAGCTGCTTTATGGATAGCCCGAGTGGTCCCTTACCAGGCAAGGTTCCTGTAGATCTGCCAAGCTGAAAGGTGTCCTTTAGTTTCTCCACAAAGGCTGTAGGAACTATTTCTTTACTGCCCAGCAAAAGCTGGGGATCCTTTCCCCCCCCCCCCCCCCCAGCAAAGCTATGGAACTATTTCTTTAACCCCCAGCAAAAGCTGTGAGAAGTGAAGCGTTTGTGCAGGTGGGAAAGAGAATCCCACACGTCCTTCTGTTAGACTTCCAACAGTGAGACTGAACAAAGTCCTCATTTCCCTCCAAAACCCTGGGAAAAGGGGCGGGTCTAAAGATTCTAACAATGATTGTCAAGCTGTTGGCCCTATGATTGCAACCTGAGGGAAGCTACCTTATTGCAAAATGCATGGCTTAAATAGATTCATGCAAACTAGCGGTGCAAGAAAAGGAATTCAAATCTCCTGGCACTGCCTTAATTACATCCTGTTTGAATTAATGTAATCTGCTCTGGTTGAGGATGCCTTTGAAAAATGTTTGGAAACTTCAGCTGGTCCAAAGAGCTGCACCAGATTGTTAACTGTGGGTTGGCTATAGGGAGTGCACAACCCTGCTGCTGCAACAGCTCCACTGGCTGGCAGTTTTGGTGGGCTACAGTTAATAGTGATGTTTATGACACATAAAGCCTTATACAACCCAGGTCCAAATTGTATCTCCCTATATGTGCTAGCCCAAGCTCTGAGATCATTGGGAGATGCCCTTTGCACCACCGTGACAAGCACAGAAAGAATGAATCAAAAGAACTGTGCTTTTCTAATGCAACTTAGGAACTCAAAAGTGTGAGGCTTTTCCTCCCATAGATTGCTACTTCCTTTTGAAAGATATAGGGGGGTGGGGTGGGGGTGGGGAAGAGTGAAGAGGAACACAAAGTGATATATTTTGGTTTCACTGTCTTTCTCCTTATGGTTATTAATAAACATTCTTCCCATATGAACACAGTTACAAGGGACTGAAAGGATAATCTGACCCAGACCCCTTCGATTCAGGAATGTAGTATTAATATATTCTTGAAACATGGCAATCAATGCTCAGTTTGAAGATTTCCAAAGAAGAAAGAGAACTCTTCAATGCAATCATGTCCAACAAGTTTTACAGTAAAGAATTACTTCTTTATGTTTTAGATGGAATGTACTTTTCCTGTAATTTGAATCTGCAACAGAAAATTTTGTGTAGCAGCAGAGAATGAGCTTGTTTCACCTTCTATATGACACCACTTCAGATATGTAAATATGTCTATTATATCAGCTCTCCATTGTCTCTTATCCCAGCTAAACATACTCAACTCCCCAGTTTCCTCTCTGATTGTAGCTTGATTTTGTAACACTAATATCATACCAGAGATGAGTATGTTAACTGCATCATTACCCAATAGGAGCTGTACATCAGTGGTACATTATTCATTCTGTGTTATTTGTAAGAATTCCTTATAGATGAAACTGCAATACCATTATCACATGCACAAGCACTGATGATAGCTTGAGCTATTCAGTGATTTAGACTGTCACAGCCACATTGGGGTGGTTGCTCAGTTCCAATTAATTTTTCAGACTGATAAACTGGAAACCTTGTCAAAAGCAAGAATTGGTGTGATTCAGTAATATACATATGGTAAACTTTTCAGCTAAATACCAAAAGACAAACCAGATTTGATATTCAAACCATATGTATCTTTTATAGAAAAACATTTTAATATGTGTATTTGTGGTATTTTTGTAATGTTTATGTGTTTTAATTATTCTGTAACCTGCTTTAAGCCATGAGGAAAGGCGGGTAAGAAATAAAATAATAATAATAATAATAATAATAATAATAATAACAATAATAATAATTCAGTGCTGAAATTTGTAATTCAAAAACTTTAGAAAAGCAAACTGTGTAACCTAGAATTGTTTCAAGGGTTGTTTTCAAATCGCTTTCATTAATATGCACTAAACGTATTTCAACATATATTATTAAACCCTCTAAATGTATTTGATTTTCAAGATGCTTATTTTGGCTTCAGAATCTGGATGAATTTCTGTTGAGATTGGTGCAAGCAAACAGATGCACCACTTGTTTCTAGCTGTCAGCCAGTTTGATTTATTCATGGCTTGTGGTCTAGAAATTTCCCTGAAGATAGTGAGATGAAAATTGTTTCCTGGTTTCTTATCAGCAGCCCCAGATTAACATGCAAATACACACCCTAGCTACCCACACCCTAAACTCCACAACTTTGCAGGAAATTAAATTCATATTCAAGATTCTTCAAAGGGTCAAAGGAAGAACAAATTCTTCTGCTAACATCACAAGGTGGAAAATGCATCTGACTCAAAAAAAAAATCAGCCAGCAGGGTGGAAAAATATGGAAAAGATTGTCCTACCTTCAGGATGGAAAGATATTTGAGAAAACCTATGAGGAGAGTCCTCGATATACACAGATCTCCATAATTCATGACCCATTCTGCACAAATAGGTTTCTTGCACAGAAAATCATACTTTCTGTACAGAAAAACAGTCTTGTTAAAAATAATCTGCACAGAAACTACGTTTCCTGTGAAAAAAACAGTTTCTAACAATTTTCTCACGGCAAGGAGAAAAACTGTAAAACTACTAAAGCCTGATTGCAAAAATTACATTTATGAAAGTTTATATCTCTGCTTACCTGCTCACAAATGGCTCCGGTCATGGTGACTGGGAATGGTCGCACATTGCCTCTGCCTAAGTTCTCCCTTTTCCTCTGATTGCTGAAGAGTTTGAGTTCCCTTTTCTCCTCTTCATCCAATGAATTGCAATATCGTACCTAGACAAAAAATGGTTACAACTTGAGTTATTACACTAATCAACAAAACTTCAATGTGTCAAATATGGAGCAACAACTTTTCTCCCAATTAACTCTATGATTTCAACATTTTCATGATTTTTTTCCTGCATTTTGGAGTGTTTATTATTTCACTCTGTTGCATTATATTTGACACATAGAAAAAGAAAATTCATTGAAGTGAATGGAGACCATTTTCTCAATAGGTAAAATTTTTACCAGGATCTGAGAGCTGGACCACAAAGAGGGCTGAGCAAAGGAAGATAGATGCTTTTGAACTATGGTGCTCGAGGAAAATTCTGACAGTGCCTTGGACTGCAAGAAGATCAAACCAGTTCATACTCCAGGAAATAAAGCCTGACTACTCACCTGAGGGAAGGATATTAGAGACAAAGATGAAGTACTTTGGCTGCATAATGAGAAGACAGGAAAGCTAGGAGAAGACAATGATGCCGGGGAACATGGAAGGAAAAAGGAAGAGGGGCCCACCAAGGGCAAGATGGATGGATGATATTCTTGAAGTGACTGACTTGACTTTGAAGGAACTGGAGGTGGCCAACAGGGAGCTCTGGTGTAGGCTGGTCCATGAGATCACAAAGAGTCAGAAGTGACTGAATGAGTAAACAACAACTTGTAAACCTATTTCCTCTTTCTTTCTCCTCTTACTGCTTTTGCCTCTCCTGGCCTCTATAGTCTCCCTCTGACTGGCAGCACATGATGACTTCCATGCCAGTGGGATAATGAATCTGCTCCAGGTTTTAGTCTAAATGTTACAAGAGCAGTACAAGGTGCTTAATAAAGTTCAGCACCTTTGATAACTCCATGGAGGTTCAAACTAAGAATGCATTTGCACTATAGAATAAATGCAGTTTGACACCATTTTAACTGCCATGAATCAAAGCTATTCAATTCTTGAGAGTTGTAGTTTGGTGAAGCACCAACAAAGAAGGTTAAAGAACTTATAAAAATTCAACTCCTGTGATCTAACAGCATAGAATCATTGCAGTTAAAGTGGTGTCAAACTACATTCATTCTACAATATAGGTATACCCTCAAACCCACCTAGATTTGACCCTCACCATGGAATCTACCAGATTTCATTGCCTGTGACAACTGCAATCATGCTTTTTGTTGAGGCTCTCCACATACAAACACCCACACTGTCCAACTTGATGGTCTGCATATAAATGTGGCAGATGCTCATGTACCCATAGAAACACAATGGTTGCTACTGGGAAATTGGGTGAATCTGCAAGAGGATAGGGCTAGGGATTCATTGCTTTCCAGCCCCTCTCCTTCTGCTCTTGGTACAGATATTTCTTACTAGAATCCAAAATGGGTTGCTTGCTTATAGTTTTTTCCTGAGCTTCCTTGGAGGCAACCAAAGTAACACTAATTTATTTACTGCTTAATTTCAAGCTGAGAAGGGATAAATTACTTTCTGATTAAGTAGACAAGGCTCTTTCAAAGGTACTTCAGTGGCACCCAAAAGAGCTTAATAAGCTTTTGACTGTAAAACTTATGGCTGGTCTAAAAGTATTTGCTTGCACACTGCAACAAGAGCTCATACTTAAGCCAAGGCCAACAAAGTGTTGTCAAGATGATTAAAAGGGCTTGCCTTTAAATGATTAAAATATACACTGTAATTTCTCTGCACAAACCCCAAACTATTTAAGGGAGACATATAGACAAATCATTTCTTTCTTGGAACATAACTCAGCTGACTCCAGCTTTTGACATGCCAAAGAGACCATACATAAAAGTTAGTCTGTGCAACCTTGGACTGCTCCCCTTAATTTGGTTTTTGTTTTGAAATTTTAACTAAAGCAGCCCTAGTCTCAAACCACATGACGCTTCTGAAAACACCTTCACCAGTAATTCATTCAAGAGTAAATACAGGTGCATGATTCAAGTAAAGACTTCTGGCGTGGATAATGTTAGAGCCTGAATAAAAACTTGAGTGTGATTTATTGCCACATATTCCAACAGCAAACACATTCTTCACATGCCAATCTCCATCTAGGAAAAACAACACTGTCCAAACACAAGTGGCAAGGATTAGCCACTTTGGGAAAACCCCAACATCTCTGAAAGTCTCTCTCTCTCTCTCTCTCTCTCTCTCTCTCTATATATATATATATATATCTATATCTATCTATCTATCTATATATATATATATATATATATATATATATATATATATATAAACAACCAGCAACATGTACCTCTCCAAAATGTGTCTAAAGAAAAAATGAACCCAAATATTGTGAACAATGTCTTCAAAGACCTGGAAAGATTGTGCTATTTCATCATATTTTCAGTTTCTCCTCTTTCTGTTTTAGGTCTCTTATGCCTGACTTGAAAAAATGCATCCTTCTTTGTGGCAAAAGTGCCAGTTATTTCTCCCAGAAAATGTCAAGAGTCAATCTTATCCTTGGGAAATGGGGATCCATAGGAAGCTGTATGTAGCTGCACCTTGCCTGACGTAAACTACACAATCCATTATTCAAGTTCATCATCAATGTTCAGGGTATCTCTAGGTTATGCATAGATCACACATGATTATACTTTTGTCTAAGGTAACAGCCAATTTCAGTGATAGGTAGACAATATTGCAGAATTTCTTGTAAATGTGTTCAAGAGCACCTCCAGTAACAAACAACTGGATGTACTGTATTCATGAACTGACCACAATTTGTGCTGGGAGCTTTTAACACGTTTTAGATTTCTGCAGATATTCTCCTAATATTAACATGAACAGTGATTAATAACAGTGATGTTAATTACAGTTTCTTTTATATCTGAAGCCACTGTTGCATTTTATTCAATTTTTAACTGGTAGGGTTTTATGATGTTATATTATCTGTTATTGTTATTATTGTTTATGTACTTGTTGTATTTTGTGTGTTTTTGTTGAATGTTTTGTTGAGTGTTTTTGTGAGTGGCCCTGAGTCCTTTCGGGGAGATGGTGGTGGGGTATAAATAAAGATGATTATTATTAGATCATTTTCAGTCTGGCTTTCGGCCTGGGCACAGTACTGAGACAGCTTTGGTCGCCTTGGTGGATGACCTCAGTAGGGAACTGGAAAGGAGGAGTGTGACCCTGCTTGTTTTCTTGGACATCTCAGCAGCTTTTGATACCATCAACCATGGTATCCTTCTGGGGAGGCTCACTGGGATGGGACTCGAGTGCACAGTTCTTCTATGGCTCCAGTCCTTCCTGGAGGGTTGTTCCCAGTCGGTGAAGCTGGGGGACTCCTGCTCGGACCCCTGGCCATTGACCTGTGGGGTCCCGCAAGAATTCTGTCCCCCATGCTTTTTAACATCTACATGAAACTGCTGGGAGAAGTCATCAGGAGTTTTGGAGTACAGTGCCATCTCTACGCAGATGACGCCCAACTCCACTACTCATTTCCATCAGATTCCAAGGAAGCCCCGAGGATACTGGACCAGTGCCTGGCTGCTGTGATGAGCTGGATGAGTATGAACAAGCTGAGGATCAATCCTGACAAGACAGGGGTCCTCCAGGTCAGTCGCCTGTCTGACCGGGGTATTGGGTGGCAACTTGTGCTGGATGGGGTTGCACTCCTCCCTGAAGTCACAGTTTGGGGGTTCTCCTGGATTCAGCGCTGACGCTTGAATCACAGGTATTGGCGGTGCCTGGGAGAGCCTCCACACAATTAAAACTCGTGCACCAACTGCGACCATACCTCGTGAAGTCTGACTTGACCATAGTGGTCCATGTCTTAGTTACCTCTAGACTGGATTACTGCAATGCACTCTACATGGGGCTACCCCTGAAGATGGCCCAGAAACTACAACTTGTCCAATGCTCGGCAGCCAGATTAATAACTGGGGCAGCCAGATTAATAACTGGAGTGGTCAACCCCCTGTTTAAGGAGCTTCATTGGCTGCCGTTCATTTTCCAGACCCGCGTGATCGTATCTCTCTCCATGAACCAGCCTGAACTCTTTGATCTTTGGGGAAGGCCCTCCTTTCGCCCTTGCCAGTTTCTSAGGCTCGTCTTGTGGGTACAATGGAGAGAGCCTTCTCCTCTGTGGCCCCCCGGYTCTGGAACTCATTGCCTGGAGAGATTAGGAAAGCCCCTACCTTAGAAACCTTTAAAAAGAATCTCAAGACCTGGCTCTGCCGTTGCGCTTTTGGGGAGTAGTCACATAATCTTAAGCTATTGCTCCCCTCAACGTTCTTGTCCTAGGAGTACCCCCCCCCCCTTGTATGAAGGTCTGTCTATCACCCTGTCTTTCGATGAGTTCTCCCTTGCAAATAATTCTGCTCCTTTATCTCACCCCGAGTTTTTAAATCATTTTATGTACATGCGGCCCGCTCACTGTCATTATGTTTGGTTTACTGCTTTTTTATGCTTTGTGTATATTCCTTATTGTATTTATATGTTTTGTACTTTACTGMGATGTTGTTTATTTTATTGTAATTTGTATTTAATTTCATTGTAATTTGTTGTTTGGGCTTGGCCTCATGTGAGCCGCCCCGAGTCCCCGTTGGGGGAGATGGTATGGTGGTGGGATACAAATAAAGATTATTATTATTGTTATTATTATTATTATTATTATTATTATTATTATTCTCTTTTTACAGCACATTGATACTAATACATCAGAAGTAATTCAAGAACACTGGAAATGTTTGAATTTAGATTTAGACTGAACAGCTGCTACACACCCATCCAGATCACCAGATCACCATGAAGGAGCCAACATTTGGACTAAAGACACACAAGTCTGAAAGGCATCTGTTTTTATGAACCCCATCTAGGACTGCATCCAAACTTCAATGTGAAACCTGCTGTACTCTTGATGCTGCTAGAGATCTTACACTCTAAAGAGTTAAACATCCACTATCAATTACTCAAGAGGCCAGATCTTATTGGTTAAGTTACACATGTATACACGTCTATAAAATATACAATGTATATTTTATAGACGTCACCTTCCAAAAATGTATTT